AAACAAATTCTACCCGAAAAAAAAAAAAAAAAACACAACAACAAACCTATTAAAGTGCTATAGCCGGCAACGAAAACTGCCAACACCACCCAGAACCCGGCTCTTCCTTCTCTCATGTCATCACTGGTGAATGTTATTAGATTAAATCAGTTACGGAACTACTGATAGACGCTGCATGCACGAGCAGTACCCCCCTCACTCACCACGACTCGTTTCATGTCGTTCGACGCGCCGGACGGCTGCTTTGTTAACTGTAGTGTATTTTATGGGATACGTACGTTTCGAAGGACGGCGTCTAGATGGCGTTTCAGTTTTGTTCTATGGAACGCACAGTTCGTAAAAGAAGATCTAGATGGCGCTTCGAACGACGGGAGGTGAACTGAAGTGAGTGAGGGAAGGTACCCCTCCCTGCGGGAGTTCCACAACTGAGGTAATCTAGTAACCTTGTCACTGGTTGAAAAAACCCCGAGACTGCGGGTAAATGACACAACACTAAAAAGTCTCTAACACAGCTGAAATTTTTATTTTCCGAAATCTGGTTATATAGGCACTTCGATACAAAAGAAAAAAAGGGGGAGAGGGTGAGAACCCCAAAGAATGCTACTTTTTACCAATGTAACCTTTGAATAAATACAAGGACAACGGACTCTGCGTCATGCACCTCTCTTTGACGCCTCGCTACCCGACCGCCAAACACACTGAAAAGCCTAAGCCCATTAACACGCACACACAAAAAAAAACGACTTCACGTTTTTTCTACCCGAAAACCTACATTAACCCATTACCAAACACACACAAAAAAAAAAAACAAAAAAAAAAAAACCGACTTTACGTTTCTTCTACCCGAAAACCTACGAAGATAAACCTTGAAGGTCGGAACTTTTCACAGCCTAAGAAAACGCCGAAGTTCGTTGTCCAACCCAAACGACGGCTTATTAACTGCGTTCCCGTGACCTAGTATTGTTAATGACTCTTTTATCAATCGCTTATGGTCATCTTTTTCCCGCAACACTACTGAAGTTAGATGCCACAACGGTGCACAGTTCCTACATTCGATAACATGTTTTGACACTTCGGAGTACGGGTCTTTTTTCATTATACAACGTTTGTGTTCCATCAAGCGCTCATTTATACAGCGTTTAGTCTGTCCAATATAACAGAGGCCACAATCAAAGGGTATCTCGTAAACGACACCCGACGAACATTCTACATCCCTTTCTCTGTGTTTTATCGTGCAACCTGAAACAGTCGAGGCAAAAAGGGGTCAAACGGCAGTGCCAATATTAAACCTGCCGGCTAACGCTTTGATGTTGTGCGGCATTTTATGAAAACTCCATAAAATTTCGCACAACATTTTATGAAAATTTCATAAAATTTCGCACAATATTTTATGAAAACTTCATAAAATTTCGCACAACATCAAAGCGTTAGCCAACAGGTTTAATATTGGCACTGCCTTTTCTACAGATTATAGATTAAGCCGTTTGACCCCTTTTGCCTCGACTGTTTCAGGTTGCACGATAAAACACAGAGAAAGGGATGTAGAATGTTCGTCGGATGTCGTTTACGAGATACCCTTTGATTGTGGCCTCTGTTATATTGGACAGACTAAACGCTGTATAAATGAGCGCTTGATGGAACACAAACGTTGTATAATGAAAAAAGACCCGTACTCCGAAGTGTCAAAACATGTTATCGAATGTAGGAACTGTGCACCGTTGTGGCATTTAACTTCAGTAGTGTTGCGGGAAAAAGATGACCATAAGCGATTGATAAAAGAGTCATTAACAATACTAGGTCACGGGAACGCAGTTAATAAGCCGTCGTTTGGGTTGGACAAAGAACTTCGGCGTTTTTTTTAGGCTGTGAAACGTTCTGACCTTCAAGGTTTATCTTTGTAGGTTTTCGGGTAGAAGAAACGTTAAGTCATTTTTTTGTGTGTGTGTGTGTGTGTGTTAAGGCTTTCCAGTGTGTTTGGCGGTCGGGTAGCGAGGGGTCAAAGATAAGAGAGGTGCATGACGCGGAGTCCGTTGTCCTTGTATTTAGTCAAAGGTTACATTGGTGGAAAGTGGCTTTCTTTGGGGTTCTCACCCCCTCCCCTTTTTTCTTTTGTATCGAAGTGCCTTATAACCAGGTTTCGGAAAATAAAAATTTCAGCTGTGTTAGAGACTTTTTAGTGCTGTGTTGTTTACCCGCAGTCTCGGGTTTTTTTCAACCATGCGCAATGTACACCAGCTCGCTTGCGCCCTTGCTTTTTGTTCACCTTGTCACTGGTGCATCCGCGTCGCCGCGACCGCGTCTTGCAGCGCCTCATAACGATGCCGCGAAACTGCTGAGGTTCAAGTTCGACCAGGTTCGGCGTTTTAAAACGGTCAGCGCAAAGTTCGCCTAAAAATCGACTCAAGTTTGACGGTTCTGCGCATGTGCGGGCATGGATGAATGGATCGATGGATACGGCTGAACGCTAATTGGGAAGCGGCATTCGCCACCGAGCCAAAGCTTCTAGATTCAAGGATTAATTAATCTCCGATTGAATTCCAATTCTGATTTAATGAAGAAGGGCGAATAATCCCATATCACCGCTAAGCACAAGCATGCGTAGAAAGGTAGAATCTGTGCGACCTGCTGCTTCTTCGCAACCCTGTGCGGGCTCGTTTCGCCCTACGGTCTGAAAGGAAAAGGATAACAAACTTTATTCTCCCCTCTGCTTACGCTACCAGTCCGATAACCTGTATTTTTGTGATATCCGCTTTTGCAAGGACGATTTTTCGTCGCTATTTTTAAAGCCAAGGCCTGGATCTAAGTAGGTATCACCTTGAGGAACTGCAGGGTGAAGCCCTAACAAACTATTCAGTGTTTAACCGTTTCCTTTTCTTCCCCACATCCTCCATACAATGTATATATGTCCTGATATTTCTTTATGTACTCCCAGGCAGTAAAACCCTATCCTGGCCTCAAACAACGAGAGGCTTCATCTAGAATTGTCATAGATACTTTCCTTGGAAATCACCATCTTATATTACTTAAACGGATGCGTGGATGGGTGAATGAATGAGGCTCAACCCTTTGAATCGGGCGGCGCTTGCGCCACCAAGCCAGTGTATTTTTTTTAATCGTTATTTATCACGGAGTTATACATTGCCCCGCGCGTCGCTGGGCGAGCGCGTGCTTGGCCGAATGGTTGCCGTGCTTGGATTGCACGCGGAGGCCCCAGGTTGGATTCCTGGGAGCGGACACTTCTCTTATTTATTCTTTCAATCTAGCGTTCTGGTAAGTTCAATAACCTTGTCGCCTGATCGAGCTATGATTGTTGTACGCGCCGAACATTCTTCGCCGAATGTTCCAGAAGCCCACGCGTGGCGAGCCGGTGTCAGTCTGGCTCCAGCGCTTGATCCTGCTGTTACGACGGCATCGGCGCCTGCGACGCTACCCTTCTATTTTGTTTTGGGCACAAGTTCGCCCCATTAAATGTTTAGTTTCCTTCAGTTATTCGCCGCCTCATCAGTTGTGACTCGTGACAATATCTATAGATATTTATTCTTAAAAGCTAGGATCTGTACGACGGAGGCGCCATTGTGCAACCGGCTGCACACACCTTCCTCCCTCCGCGGATTGCCCGGAAGGGAATAAGAAAATATTCATCCTTCCATCGACCTATGCCACCACCAGTCAGATAATCTCTTCTTGGCTATCTCCACCTTCATCGGTGTCAATATTTCTCTCACTATGTCTAAATCCTAATGCGTTCGTTGAGTCAGTCGTTTCCTCAGCCACTACAGGGTGAAACCCCTAAAGGCCCGTTCACACACTTGCTTTTTAGGACAGAGCGCCTTGAAACCTCTTAAAATTTGTTACGACGAGAGGACACACTGGCGCCACCTATCGGGTAGTAGTGGAATACTTGGCGGCTCCGTATTTGTCCTATTGCTTTGGTGCATCATTCTTTCTTTGTTGGCTCGTAGAACTTTTTGTCAATGTCACAAACGACCTGTTCTCATCAGTGGTAGATACACTTTACTTCGCAAATACCGTAGATTCTTCGTTCTAGTGAAATGCAGTTCGAGGGTCGCAGCATAGATGGCGCCTAGGTGCCAGCGGGTTCTCTGGTTATCGTAAGATATTTTCAAGGGTTTTAAGGCACTCAGTTCTAAGGACCTACAAGTGTGTGAACGGGCATTTACAGTAAAGTATCAAGAGCTGAGCCGTTTCCTCCTTCTCTCCACAAGCTCCATACACTGTATCTATACTTACTGATATTTAGCTCTATACCTCTCGTCCGTAACACTCCCGTCCTCGCCTCGAACAAGCAGCTCCCCCTAGAATTGTCGAAGATAGATTCCTTAGTAGTGTCCTTCTTAACGACCTGTACATGTCTAGGGCTAATTTAGTCTGCATGCCTGCTTCCCATATTTTCATCTCACTTTCTCTAACTCTCTTCTTATCGGTAATTTTATCACGCGCCTCCCTAGTATAGACCCTTTTACAAATTCAGCGCCATCTACCGGAACGGTTGCAAAGCTTCGCAGGTGGGCGTGGCGCGGCGTGCGTCCGCCATAAGCATGTATGATCGCATCGGCGCTTGCTCAACGTGTGCTACACCTCCGACACCACTGCGGCCACAGAAGGTGTTGCGCGGCTGATACTTCGCCACACGCTGCTTCTGCGATGCCTTTTCATTGCTGTGTGCCGCTGTGTAAGCAAAAAGGACTCAAGGATGCCTCTGGCTCGCGGTCGGGTGGTGCGCTCGCGGTTGGCCGGTGCACGCACGCGACCGCTGCGACAATCGAAACGGAAGAGATCCCGCCAGATTAGTAGCATGGAATGATATAAGCCGTCTCGTGCTGCTTCTGAAGCGCTAGTGTGACGGAAGGGAGCATGCACCTGCACCCTTTTCTTTTTGTAAACAGAAGCGATGTTGCTGGGCTTGGGGTATCGAGATAACGTTAACATTCGGCCATTTCGGTGACCTCTCGCGAATTTGTATACTTTTTTCTTTAGAGGTATCTCTGTTCGCCATCCTATCCGACCCCGCTCTCCGAAAAAAATGGATTGTTGCTATAAAACGTGACGAAGGCAAGCACTTCTCCATTACGAAGTACACTAAGATTTGCTCAGGACACTTTCGAGAGGGTGACTACATTCCGAACGTCGCTAGTAAACGTCGCTACCTCAGACAGGAAGCAGTGCCGAGCATCTTCGCTTTCAACGTCGCGAAAAGGCCGCCCAGAAAGAAACCACGAGTACGACAGGCGCCGCCGTCAACGCCGAAGTTTTTCGCCGCTGATGCCGGAGTGACGAATGACGCAATCGCCGATCCGAGCAGTCAAGACACGGTGAGCGAACCCGCTAGTGAAGAGGCAAACTACGCATTCGCCGATCTGACCGGTGGACACGCGGCACCTGGGGCGTCGAGCCAGAAGAATGCAACCGGCGAAATTGTCACTGTCAACGCTATGGGCGACAAACGTCCGGTCCACGATACTGTTCTGCCAGCAGCAGCAGTGCTCGTACTCGCGATGCCGTACATGCTCATGGCGGCGTTGGCGGCGTCTCCCTCGTACAATGTGGCCAGCCGCACTTTTGAGCACCGTCAAGATGACAATGATGATAGCTATTGAAGTGGCCAGACTGAATTTCGGAAAGGGTCTATTGCGCATATGTTTAGGCCTACGTTTTCTAATCCGTGTTCTCTATTTTGTATCGACGCTTCTCATGTGTAAATAGCCAAGAACCTTTCGTGACCATCATTCTGCCAGTATCTTTTTTTCTCAGCATATCCAAAAGTACTCCAAAAGCCGGGCGACGTCATAATTTAAATAACAACACCGACTTGACATAACAGAAAAAACAATTTCATTAGACGTTTCGCCTCCCATGCGGGAGGCATCATCAGTAGTTACACAGCAAATGCAAGGTTCAACCTCAAGTCAACGCTATTTATCACGAATGTCCGTATAAGCTTCGTGGAGAGGGCCGCGGTTTTTGTTACACACGGATGTGTCCCTGCGAACAAACCACGATTCTAGGAGCTTTCGGGGCCCCCATCAGTCCTCCCTCGCCAAGGTCGTTGCGGCCGGGAAGTCAAAAGAATGCCCCATTGTCCCCGCATGGTCCACCAGTTCAGTCTTCAGTCGCGTCGCATATCGCGTCGCATATCCTCCAATTCTATCTTACTGCTAGCTTCCTTGCCCACGAAAGATTATCATCCTGTATCGCCCTCCACACCTTGGTTTGGTGTTTTACGATGTGCTCGCAGTGCTAATCTGCCCACTGCACGTTGCTTTACTTCTAGCCTTGTTCGGACGTCCAGTTTAATGCACAAAACTGTATTTGCAAAACTCAGACTAGAAATCATAACTCCTTTGGAGATCTCCCTCACCACCCCATTCGTGTTATATGTTCCACAGCGCTCTATTTTTCATTAAAGCTGCATTTTTGTTGCCCTTAGCAGTCACAGGTTTTCCATGGTCATTGAGGTGTTCTGTGCCCTCGTTAATCCATAATCCTACACTCTAAGAAAAAATGGAGGAAAAAAGTGGCAACAACGCGTCTTCCTCCCTTCTACTAACGCGCCCCCAACCGGACACGAGAAGAGGGGAGGAACGAAACGCTTTCCTCCTTCTCCAGGCAGACGGCAGAAAGCTTTCGCCCTCTCGACTCATCTTCTTCCGGTTTCGTTTTTCAAGCAGGTCGCGCACGTTGTTTAATAAATAGTTGTTGAGTTGATTGAGCTTCAGCGGCAGCGAAGGCTGCCTATAATTCCGTCTTCTAGTCCAAACGTGCAGAACATTTCGGTTGCATTGACGTTTTTATCACTAATTTTATCAAACGAGCAAACGAAGCCGCTAGAAACAGCCAAGTTCCGGAGCAGTGCCAGCAGCGCCACGTACACTGGATGGCCGTCTCCGGATTGCGAAACTCACGCGGCGCGGAACTACAGTAGCGAAACCACGCGGAACTGTGTCGACGCTAAGACGTTATGAAAACCGCAGGATCTGCGTCCAAGACAGGCAGATTTTGCTGCCGGCTGCCTGGGTGCTTTCCGTGCTGAGTTCGGTTCTGTTTTCCGATGCCGAGTGCAACCGGCGTTCAACGTGGTTCTCTATTTGTGCGCGTCAGCAACATAGCTGCAACATCGTGATGGCAGTGTTGTGGGTTGTGAGCAGAAGACTGGAATTATCGCCGATGCGACCGTGTGTTCGCGTATCAGCGGTGTAACATCAAGATGAGATCGTTTTGATGCCGCCGGTCGGGCCGTGATCGCAGGGGGCGGGGTGTCTCAGGTTGACATTCCGCTTTACATTAACAAGTTTAATACCACTTTAGGGATTACGTGCAATCGATCAACGTACGGATAGGCATGTTGGAACGCTGGTCTGAACAGTATAAGCTCCTATCGTACAGTGGCCAGTGTGACTGTCGGTTGTCTCGTCCCCGAGAGCGATTGCGCTCTGGGGCAAGAACAACAGTACGAACTCGTGACGGAAAATACGTATATTTACAGTGTGGAATTTTAGCATTAAAAAACAATAGTAGGTAAAATAAAAAAAAAAGTTACAATTTATTTTGCTATTTAAATATACAACGGTTCCTGGAGAAACTGCCCTCCAAGTGGCGCGCTGGGATGAGCGCTAGAAGTTTTCGGGCTCGCCACGGCGTAGCGCCGTACACTTACCCCCTGCCGCAAGTCGCGGCTTTGACTGCATTCAAGTTGATCGAAAAGCGATTTCTCAGCCCGTGAAGCATCACTTCCAGTTGAGTGAATATCCGCTCTACAGAGGGTAATTCAAGACGGCAAATGCAGCTTTGCGCGAACAGCACAAATAAAAAAATAAATAAAAAACTACAATAGGAATAAAGGCTACGACGTGCCATGCGGGGAAACAAACTCATGGCTTGGAACCGCGTTGGAGCCGCTCGATTTATTGGCTTTCAAATAATTACGGCACGATCGAGCGTTTGCTGTTTAATAAGAGATTCATTCCCTGAGCAATTGAAAACACTCTCAGAGGTATGACATTGCTGAAAAAAAATCAACATGCTGGGAATATTTTTTATTGCTTATTCAGTCACTGAGAAATTCCGTCCATTCAAAACGACCAGTATAAAAGACGGAAACGCAGAGCACGGGTGTAGTGTTCGGGCTAGTGTGGTGTTCAAATGGATCCATGGCATATTCCGTTCTATTGCTATTTGTGTGTGCCGTGTATGTGCTCAATGTTTGTTCACCTGATGGTTCTAATAAGCGTAATGTGTGTATAGCAGAGGATCTCCAAGCGCAATAGTGGCCTGAGGAAATCAAATAATTTTTTTGTAGAACATGAATTAAGCGGTACCTAGCGCCACCTAGCCTAGCTACTTGCAATTACTCTGCTTGACCCCGCCATCTGGTGGCTAGCGATTTAACCTTCTTTCACGCTACGCGGTAAACAGCGGCTTCGAGTTTGTTCTTTCGAGAGCGGCTTTTGGTTTCGCGGATTGAGTTTTCCCTTCTCCGTGTTGTGCGGTTGACGAAGGAATTGTGACTCGAACACCAAAGGTAAGACGCAAAGTGCGCGAAATAACTGGGTATCGGTTGTCTCCGTTTAACATTGCAGTGCTGTCGACGAGAAGACTGAGTAACTGCTTTCGAAACGCAAGTTTCTGTACCTGTGGGGGAAATCTGGCATTTGGAAATAAACACAGTTCGTGGAAAGCTCGCGTTTCGCTTTTATTTGCTGCTCCTCTCGTCCCGTACAAGAGACGCAGCGTCCTCGTCACGCCTTATTGGGCTCCATTTGCTCGATTCGGGGCCGCCATATTGAAATGCAAGCAACGGAGGAAGTTTGCTCCCCTGCTTCAGGGACGAAAGTTTCTCCCTTTCTAAAGGAACCATAGGTGACAAAACCGTTTCTCCCCTAAGGGAGGACTATCCATACCCTTTTTTCTAAGAGTGTACATACTTGTTTCTTAAGCTCTGCAATTCCGTCATCATTGACCACCATGACCGCTGCCTTGTCCCTACTGAATTCTAAGCCTAAAATTCAAACTAATATGGTGCCAACTAACGAAAGGGGGGTACTATATTTCTTGAGGTACATTTCTTTCAATTAAAAAAAAACACTCTCAAAATACTTCAAACTTTATTTTCTTTTGTTTTTCTAAATATCACTTCATCATTTTCGAACGTAATAGAACAAACTACCGTTCAAATTCTTTTTTCCCGTGTTTTTAACTTCCGCGTACGAATCCGGCCGCTCTGCTCTAATTTTAAAGTCGAACGCGGTCGTACTTTGCAAGAAAAGGTCTAAGGTTCACCACACCAGTCGAACATCGAACCTCGGTCTCGTTAAAAGTTCGCGACTTCCTGCTCGCCACGGGCGCGTACCGCAGCATCTCACAACGAGCGCGACGTTAGCACACGGCGACGCCAAATCGCACGCGTCTACCGACCGCTTTGTCGCGTCTTCTCGCTAAGCTTCAGCGTGCCTGTCGCATGAGGCGGATGGAGGATTTTCTCACCATGACGTATATGCGCACCGGACTGGTTTGTTTAGCGTTCGCCCATGCGCCGAAAGTTGTCCCGAAGTTACAACAAATGCCGTCACAAAAGCTGCGGTGTCACACTGTCGAATGTCGAGAGTCCATGGCGTTTGGGCGCAGAGGCTCATTAAAAAAAGCACGAGCAAACGTGAGTGTCACTGTCATCACGGCGTCCCAACCTCTGACCGCCGAAGATTCCGTGGACTGTCTAGCAGAAGAGCAGAACAGGTGTCTCTCCACGTCCACTACCCTTGCTTCGACGCCACCAGGGTCGCGACCGGCGACACTTTTATGACATCATTCGGGGGAAATCGAGGGCCACTTTTTCCAATGCTGTGAACGCACCAGTTGGAAACGTGCTCCAGGCGCCGTGGTTTTGTAGTCTGCTGCGTGTTCAGAATGGCAGGACGCGCTCCTCCCACAACGCCCTCCACTCTCCCCACTTTAGCAGAGCGAACGCTGAAGAGGAGGCGACTGGAGAGAAGGAAACTTCCAATCATGACGAGCATGGGAGCTTTAGGGGAGGAGCTTTGCTTGTTATTCTAAATGTAGCGCTCGGTTTGCAGCTTGAGAATAAATCAGTCTTTCGCACCCACCGTAGGGAGTACTACGTGTTTCTTCGACTTTTACTGGACCTTCCACCCACCGCAACCCATCCCATCCTCCCTGACCCGAGACCCAACCCTCTAGCGGAGGATGTATGGACTTGAGCAGAGAGTTTCAATTTTTGGTTTATTGAGCGACAAATATGTTTTCCAATATTCGGCGGTTCCGCGCCCGGCTTCAGCGGGTCACTTTAAGCTCTTAGAACTGTGAGACTTAAACACAATTACATTTTTTCCCCCTTTCTTTATAGCGGGGGATACTTCGATGTCAACGACGACATCGACGGAAACAGGTGCGTTCTGTAGCGTTTCTTTCTTTTTTTTTTTTTTCTGAAATAA